TTTATAGACATAGTATGATTATTCACAAAGCAAAAAATCTCTCAAATTTAAGTGAAATATATTTAAAAAATGATACTTTCCAATTACCTCCTTTGAATTGAATTTACAATTTTTCATAAATTTGAGGAACTCGTTTCAATCTTTTTCTACGATGTTCTTTCCAACGAGGATTAATTTTTTATCATTTAAAGGGTTAAGGGATCTTCGAACTTCACCTGAAAATTTATTATTCATTCTTATTCGACGTTTTTATATTTCATATAAATTATTTTTCTACGTATTTGAAATAATAATACAGGATAAATTTCTTCAGTAGCGTAAAACTTGCTACTTCGCTTCATTTCTTTTTTTCCCCCACTCTTAGCGAAGACAGTAAGCTCAGGAAATAGTCGCTATCCGCTGCTGTAAGATTCGTCAGCAAATTTCGTTGCGTTTCTTCTTATTATTCTCCTTTCTTCTTACTCGCTGTTCCTGGTTATTTGCGAGGATACGGTTAGAAGTCGGAATTTTTGGCGTATCTCAGCTGAAATTGGTTGTTCATACTGTAGTAATCATCTTGAAACTATTTTTCCTCGTTTTGAACAACACGAAAATCTTTAAAAAGAAAAGAATTGTTAAAAACGAATTTTTCGTGTATTGTCACTTTAGAAATATCGTTAAATTCAATAAATGCGTATTTAGTAATTTGTTTCGCACTTGAAATAAGTAATTTTTACGATTTTGATGTTAACAAAGTTACTAAAAGAGACATAAAATGTTTTTACTATAATTCCGACCAAATATACTATTAACGTGAGCTACGATTCGATCGAACGAATCGCAAACAATACTACGATCAAATTGCTTTTCAATTTTCCATTCATGTTACACTGTATACTACGCGAAATTGTTACGATTTAAAAAACACGTTCGATCAAAACTATTTAACGTCAGGTTTTTCGAAAAATAAATCTAACGAACTGACTGATCGCAGAAAATAAAAAAATAAAAATTCCCTATTTTTCCGTTCTATTTTGTAGATGACAAAATTGTTCTCTGATAAAAATTGTCGAGAGAATCAATTATTCCTTGGTTACCAATTTTTTTTAAGTTTATTTAGATATAGGATAAAAAATGAAAGGATAATATTTCTCTTTGATGTAAAATTTAATTCGTAATCCTAGTTTACAAGTGTACATAACCTAATATATGTACGTTTCGAATGATAGAATTAATAGATACGATATTTACCTATTCAAATTAAATATAATAAATCATACCACGCAATTAAGTTACACATTTATTTCTTAAAAATTCTCGGCTGAATATTCTAAATGCTTCTTGAATCTGGATCGACGACTTTTTTTTTTATCAACCTAATGTTAATGTTACTTAAAAATACGCAGTAACAATAAGTGCAACCTTAAAGCAACAGAAACATACATACATAGCATATCTCTTTAGTAAAACGCAACTCGATAATTTCAAATCGTCACGCAATTAATCTAACCTTGTTACAACATTAAGTGAAAATAATCGAACACTATAAATCACACATTATCATAACCCGTCGCAACCTGTTACCACTTCAAACCAGTTCAAACATGTCCCTCATGCATCTTCCACAAACATTACACTGTTTCGTACACGTGAAAAAATCAGAAAGCGAATAAACTTTAAAAGTACACGGAACGAGGAATCGGAATATTTTCATTTCCATGAAACGTCGTGAACGAGTCGAGGGAACGATGAAACCGTTCACGTCGATCCGTGGCCTATCGTTCCAATAAGACACGCGCTTCCGGCCAGGCGGCCAATAATGGGATGCTGAGCAAAAGTTTTCGCTCGCAGCTATTTTATTTAACTCCGGTGCACGCTTCGACGGAATGCAATTCCACGTTCCACGGCAAAGCCGGCCCTCGCGATGCATTAACCCGTGTTCGAACGTTCGCTACGAAAAGTTTTTAGCGGTGGAATCCTCTGGATAATTCACATTACTGGAACAGATTATCCCCACGCCCCCCACCACCTTCCACTTTCTGCGTGGCAGGGAGGATGCTTTGAAAAACAGGAGAAAAAGGTAAGGTCTCGCGGATGAAGTCGATTTCTATTTTTTCGGAGGGCAAAGGAATCGCTGAGTAGTCTTGAAATTGGAACTGAAACTGTGTTCGAAATTGTAATCGAGAATAAGTTGGAAAATGTTTGATTCGATTTTTGTTGCGTCGAAAATTGCTTGTTCGCCGATGGTTAATTAGTTCGAGAGTTGAATTTTGAGTTCGTGAAAGGTATATGATTTTTTGTTTCTGTATGCCTGGAATAGAAGAAATAGTTTACTATTGAAATATTTAATTTTGAAAGTAATCGATGTTTTTCAAATTAAAATTACAGTCGTAATTTTTATCTTTGATATATAAGTACTTGATAAATTTATAATGTTGATATGAATTTTTTTCATGTTAGGTTAACCATCGTGAAATGACGCAAATAATGCTTGGGAAAGAACAAAAAATATTCACACAAATATCGTGTATTGTATGTATTCATACAGATATCCTCTGATTTATTCTTTAAATTTTTTTATAAAAGTATAATTTCTAATTTAGAATAACAACATACATTTTTATACGTTAATTATTTTTTAAATTTTATTATAAAAGTATAATTTCTAATTTAGAATAACAACATACATTTTTATACGTTTGCCTCTTTCTCTTTTTCTTTTTTTTTAAATACAGGATACTGCGTTCCAATCGAAATGATGTTTCGTTCAATCATGCGAAAGGAAATATATATAACAAATTATATTGTAATTTTCAATATTGTAAAGCTTTCACGAAATATACCTATCATTTTTCAGTTTTCCTAAACGCAAAACGATTTCTGCGAAATTTATAAAAAAAAAAAAAAACAATTAAGTAAATCGACACGTAAAATTCAAACACAAATACTTTCTTATTCTTTTTCTTCAACTAATAATTTAAGTAATTATTTTTTTGTTTAAGTAAGATTACCTATTGATCTATATATTTGGAAGCAACAACAAAAAAATAATTAAACTGACTATAACGCGTTTATTTTGTCGAGGCAAATAAAGATAACCAGATCTCTAAATGCTGCCTTTTAAAATCAACAAAATTAAATACATTAAAAGAAATTACTGTAGAATATTATAAAAGTCTTTCGCGACGTGTTTCTTAACACAGATCATGCTTGTCCTTTTCTGAAGCTTCGAATACGTTGCTCTTGATAAGTGAAAAATAACCTCAAAATGGTCTCACCGGTCATTATCACGTTTCACATTTTAAAAGCTCCAGTACGACAAATATAGTTTATATAAGTTACACATTGAGAAAAATGATGATATTAAATATAAAATACATCTCATCGTTGCTATCATGTTTTTCAACAGCGCGATCATGAATCTACATGTGAACAATGTGGCACAATGAACATACTAATGCATTTCCTACAATTGTTTAATGCTAATAAATATCGTGTATAATGCTATGAAAAATATAGGCTCTAAAAATAGAGTATGCATAACAGGTGTTAAAAATCATCTTACTTCATATAATACGATCTAAGTTATCTGCAACCTGTAACAGTTATCAGAAGCTTGCCTATAAAAATTTTTAAGGTTAGGTTAAGACTGGGGCACACACGGTATCCTCGAGCACCATTCTTCGTTAATTAATAAGCTAATGGCTAGGAAACTTGTGCTAATCACTAATGATAACAATCGTATCTCGTATGCGCAAATTACAAATATTGGGTGAATGTTAGAAAAATAGGAAACTGCTTGAAACTTTGTACACATTTGCACTTAGATGCATTTAAATAGTACATAGTAGTAAAATTACGATCTATCCTACGAGAATATCAAAATAATCGATTATCTTCTTTCGCCGAAACCTACTTTGCTTATTACATCTTTATCCTACAGTCAGTTATTTATCACATTTTTTTTTTAGTATTTTTTGCGCAAAGTTTTTTTCCATTTTCTTCTATAAATTCAAATACGTATTTACTAACGTTTCTTTTTACAGTTTAATCCTCGTCGTCAACTTCCATTGGACTATCTATAGTTCCTTTCCCTCTCTTTGTAGATACATTGTCCTTCGTCGAAGCGTCACATTTCAACGTTGTATCATCTTTACTTTTTTTCACATTGTTAGACAATTTTTTCTCGCCCTCTTCCTCTTCTTCACATTCCCCAGGAGAATTACCAAGCCTGTCCTCACTTTTCTTCTTGTCATCAGATTTAACCTCTTTCTGATCATCAACTAGAGCATTCTCAGAACATTCCACAATCATAACACAGTCATCATTTTCCGATTCATTTTCCTTACTCGAATTCGTGCTCTCCACTTTCTTAGAACTAACAAAGCTCTTCAATAATGTTTCCTTTGAAGATTTGGAAAACTGTTCACCTCTACCCACGGATATCAACGTAGCCCTCTTTAGAGGCTTCGAAGCGGTAGCTTTGTTCTGAGATGCTGGCTTAACAATTAACTGTTTCTTCATCTCCTCCTGAGTGATCTTCTTAGTAAATTGAGTAATTAAGGGGACACTCTTCTTCTCTTTATCCTTGTCCTCCTTCTCCACTTTATCTGCTATTTCCACAAGGTTACTCTCCTTTTGTGGAGTGAAATTAGGCCAGCGATTTGGCAAAGGAAGATCCTCCTTTAGGTACTGTTTCCTGATTTCCTCAGAAACATACCAGCACTTCTTCTTGTGCATTGGTCCCTCTTCTGGGCAATGACTCCACGTTGCAATCTCACGAATCTTTCTCAGCAAACTGCCTTTATAAAGCTGACCGTCACCTTTGTCACTCCAATAGGCCATGAACTCTTTGCTCAAAAATTTTCTACCCCGGATGTTTCCATGTACGAATCGGATCAGGTCTGGTAAAGCAGCTTCCGGGACTGGTCTCTTCTTTGAATTTGGAGTTTTCTGGTTTGCGGGCATGCTGATCTCGCTGGCTGTCATAGCATCGTTCTCTGATTTAGTAGTATCAATGTTGGTTGGTAGGATCACTGGTATCTGCCGTACCCAGGCTTCATGAGCTGTCAGGAAGTCTACGGTCTTCTGAGGCACTGCAAATAGAGAATGATTATATTTCTTAGGTCATGTTTTTTTATAACATATTTGAGATATCATTGTTTCTGTTTTCTTTTTACTGTGATACTGCAGGGAAATTGATTTTAACTGGTTGTATCATCTTATAGGGAATTAGGGTAGGATTTATATCAATTTATATCAAAAATTGTACAGTAAAAAGATAACCTATTCAATATACCTGACATATTACAAGAAAATTATTGAAATATTAGAAAAGATTGTGAACCAGAAAATGTAAAGCAATTTTTTCTAATCCAGAATGATTTTGTAATACATATTGGTTTCATTTTGAGTGCTAATTACCCACCATTTGATGAAAATTGGTTTTCAGATCCTCTCCAAATGCAACCAATTATTTTTGGCTTCAGTTTTGAAGTCTTAGTGTTCCTCTCACACTCAAATTGTTCTCCCAATACTTTCAGCTTGAACTTTTGCGTTTCCGGTGACTATAAGAGGAAACAAAAGATCAATTAATAATTATCCATTTAATTAACTATCTTCTAGCAAACTATCCTATTTAAAAATACGTACCATAGCTTCTTTGTCCTCTTCATCAGCCCTAACCTCTTCATCCGACAAGTATCTGAATTATTTCAAAGAAAAATCGTTACAAATGGACGAAAATGTACTTAGACGTTGCAAATTTGTCGTTGAATTACCCATGAGGAACCATAAATTCATTATCCACGTCGTATTCGTTATCATCTGGATTTTCTTGATCTTTCTCATCGTCTGAACCGTGCAAAGATTCGCCAGGTTCTTCTTCCTCCCATTCGTCGTCGGAATCGACCTCGTAATTGAACCATTCCTGAAAAATGTTCAAAGTGAAATTTTAGAAAAAATGTGAAATATGTATAATTGCGGCAGATATATAATTTGATAGTGTTTAACGTGTAATATAGAAGATAAGGAACGAAGGAAACACATCAAATGTGATTAATGGTTCGAAACATATTTTTTTTATTAAGAATTTTTTCTGCCATTGATAAGAGGCCGCGTGCTGAATGATTAGTAATACTTTGTGTATCTTGAATCTTCTCTTGGAGGTTTAAATACTCCGTGGAGAATTGCATCGGTGAAAAATTGCGGAGTCTAATTTTTGAACGTTCTCGTGTTAGCGATAAATTCTTCGCGAATCTTCAATTTTAGGTAATACATACGTAAAATTGAAGTGAAATTCTGTAGATTAGAAATGGTTGAATTCCATGTGAAAATTCCTTTTCTACCTAAAATTCTAATTTTCGTTGGAAATTTTTCTCAATTCGAGCATCGAACTCGAAAATTTTCTCAGAATTGAATTCAGTTTCGTATGAAATTCTTCTTTCCCCTCAAAATTCCAATTTGTTCCAAAATTGTTCTCCATTTAAGCATCGTGACTCAAAAATTCGCTCAGAATTGAATTCCACTTCACATAAAATCCCATTCCCCCCAAAATTCCAATTTGTCCCAAAAATTTCTCTCTATTAACTCAAAAATTCACTCAGATTTGAATTTCATTTCACATAAAATTCCTCTTTCCCCCCAAAATTCCAATTTGTCCCAAAATTTGTCTCTAGTATCTCCAAAATTCGCTCAGAATTGAACTCAATTCCATACGAAATTCCCTTTTCACCCCAAAATTCAATTTATTCCAAAATTGTTCTCCATTTAAGCATCGTGGCTCAAAAATTCGCTCAGAATTGAATTACATGACACAAAAAACCCATTTTCCCCAAAATTCCAATTTTTCCCAAACAAGCATTCCCAATTTAAGCATCCTGACTCAACAATTCACCAAGAATTGAACTAAATTCCACATAAAATTCCCTCTCCATCTTTATCCCAATTCAGTCCAAATTGAATCGTCATAAAACCTCCAAAAATCTCGACAAATCCATCTGGAATTTTCCTTCACTCCGCACTTAAGGTTTCAACTTTCCTGTATTCTTTTCGCGATTCGTGTTATCGGTCGCTTTTCATGCGGTTTATTTAACTACGATCACGGCCACTGGATTTCAGTGAAGTCTGGCATGATTAAGCAGGACGTCGGTATCATGCGACTTCCTTCACGAGAGATATCACGCGACGTTCAACAAAGCGCACGTGCTATGCTCCTCTCTTCTCGTTTTGCTTCCCTTAGTCGCTGTGCGATACTCTCAAAATGTTGATGCGCTACCGCGAAATCGATTCTCCTTTCCTGCTTCACCGTTCTCGTGGACAGCCATAAAATCGATCCACGAGATATCGAGATTTCTTTATTTCTTTTTTTTTTTTTTTTTAAATTTTCTTTATCATCGGAGAACGTGAATTATTATTTTTTTACTGCACAGTGTGTGAAATTTGAAAATTGCACAGAGCAGATTTGAAAGAAACATTCTTTCGTTTTTGTGAAATCTGAGAATTGACAAATTATAACTGCATAGAGAAGATTTAAAAAAAAAATTCTCTTTGTCACTGGGGAATGTGAATTTTTCTATCGCATAGTGTGTGAAATCAAAAATTTGACAATATTAATTACTCGGAAATCATTTTCAATGAAAAATTCTCTTCTCTGCTAGAGAGCGCGAATTTTTTTTACTGCACAGTGTGTGAAATTTGAAAATTGCATAGAGAAAACTTGAAAGTAACGTTCTTCTCGTTTTTGCAAAAAGTGAATTTTTAAAATTAATAAATTACAATTGCTTAGAGAAAATTTTGAAAGAAGAATTCTCTTCTCTATTGGAGACCGTGAATTTCTTCATTGCACAGTGTGTGAAATTTGAAAATTGCATAGAGAAAACTTGAAAGTAACGTTCTTCTCGTTTTTGCAAAAAGTGAATTTTTAAAATTAATAAATTACAATTGCTTAGAGAAAATTTTGAAAGAAGAATTCTCTTCTCTATTGGAGAGCGTGAATTATTTTATTCTAAAATGTGTGAAGCTTAAATATTGAAAAATTAGAATTGCCCAGAGGATCTTACGCGAAAAATTCCTTTCACAATTGGAGAATGCGATTCTTCTTCATTGCACAGTGCGTGAAATTAAAAAATTCGACAAATTATTAATTACGTGGAAATGATTTTAAATGAAAAATTCTTTTCCCTATTAAAAAACGTGAATTTCGTTATTAAATAGCGTGCGAACTCAAAAATTCGACAAATTATTAATTACGTGGAAATGATTTTAGATGAAAAATTCTTTTCCCTATTAAAAAACGTGAATTTCGTTATTAAATAGCGTGCGAACTCAAAAATTCGACAAATTATTAATTACGTGGAAATGATTTTAAATGAAAAATTCTTTTCCCTATTAAAAAACGTGAATTTCGTTATTAAATAGCGTGCGAACTCAAAAATTCGACAAATTATTAATTACGTGGAAATGATTTTAAATGAAAAATT